CGTAGTGAGAACTTGCAGGGTGAAGCTTATGTGGTTGTTATTTCTTCAGTGACTTTTCAAAGCAAAGCTCTGGGAAAGCAGTGACAAAGAGTGCAGCAGTCACACACCTTTGCCTCCCAAATCTCATGTTCATCTGCACTTTCTATTGTAAAGTTGCCATATAAGATCTCTTAAGGACATTTTCAACTGTCTTAGTGGTGTAGGCAACGCACAGGAAGATGAGGGAGTAGACAGAGAAGACTTGCTGCAGCAAAGTCTTGGAGCGCTTGAAGTATGTGGAAAGAGCAAGTAAAAGTAGGAAAGATTGTTTTTGATTTAGAAAGGAAACTTCTTGGGCCACATCTTCCTGTCACAAGTGTCTCCCATTTTGTTTTGACTTTTTAGTTTGCAAAATTAATTCTGTGCTGGCTGCTGCACTGCTCTGCAGAAGCAAATTAAAGGTCTGTCCCAGGACGTTAATGCAAGTGTCTCTTGCGTTCCTGGTGTCGAGCATGGCGACAGTCCCAGGAGCATAACTTGGCTCTCCCAGCAGAAGGAATCGTGTGACTCGAACAATCATTTGACTGTACCCTCCTTTTGAAGCAAAGTAATAGTGTGCAGCAAGGCTTTTGACACTGTCTCCCATCACATCCTCCTAGGTAAGCTCAGGAAGTGTGGGCTAGATGAGTGGACGGTGAGGTGGCTTGAGAACTGGCTGGATGGCCGAGCTCAGAGGGTTGTGGTGAATGGTGCAGAGTCAAGTTGGAGGCCTGTGGCTAGTGGTGTCCCCCAGGGGTCAGTCCTGGGCCCAGTCTTGTTCAATATATTCATCAATGACCTGGAGGAAGGGACAGAGTGCACCCTCAGCAAGTTTGCTGATGATACTAAACTGGGGGGAGAGGCTAACACACCAGAAGACTGTGCTGCCATTCCGAGGGACCTGGACAGGCTGGAGAGGTGGGCGGAGAGGAACCTCATGAAGTTCAACAAAGGCAAGTGCAAGGTCCTGCACCTAGGCAGGAATAATCCCATGCACCAGTACAGGCTGGGGGTTGACCTGCTGGAAAGTAGCTCTGCCGAGAAGGACCTGGGAGTGCTGGTGGACAACAAGTTAAGCATGAGCCAGCAGTGTGCCCTTGTGGCCAAGAAGGCCAATGGTCTCCTGGGGTGCATTAGGCAGAGTGTTGCCAGCAGGTGGAGGGAGGTGATCCTGCCCCTCTCCTCAGCCATGGGGAGGCCTCACCTGGAGTGTTGTGTCCAATTCTGGGCTCCCCAGTACGAGAGAGACATGGCACTCCTGGAGAGAGTCCAGCGGAGGGCTACCAAGATGATTAGAGGGCTGGAGCATCTCTCCTATGAAGAAAGACTGCAAGAGCTGGGCCTGTTCAGCCTGGAGAAGAGAAGATTGAGAGGGGATCTCATCAACGTGTACAAGTATCTGAAGGGGGAGTGTCAAGAGGATGAGGCCAGCCTCTTCTCCGTGGTGCCCAGCAACAGGACAAGAGGCAACGGGCAGAAACTGAACCACAGGAAGTTCCATCTGAACCTGAGGAAAAACTTCTTCACTGTGAGGGTGACAGAGCATTGGAACAGGTTGCCCAGAGAGGTGGTGGAGTCTCCTTCGCTGGAGATATTCAAAAGCCGTCTGGATGTGATCCTGGGCAATATGCTCTAGGTGACCCTGCTTGAACAGGGAGGTTGGACTAGATGATCTCCAGAGGTCCCTTCCAACCTAAACGATTCTGTGATTCTGTGATTCTGTGATTTACCTTCACCCCTGCAATTCATATAAATGTCTTGGTGTGATTTCTGTAGCCTCCCAAAATGGGAAGGTGCATTGAACAGGTAAAAGTCCCGACCTAAGAGAGTTACTATTTCAGGGCTTACTCAGCATTTACAGGACTGCTAGATTATACTTCTCGGCAGCGCTGAGAAACTTTAGTTATGTAATTCATTTGATGCCAAACGTGATTGGAAAACCACCCAGCTGAATGAGTATTGTTCATTCTAGATTAAAGTTATTCCTAAGGGACTGACTACGAGCTTTCGCTTTTCATTTAAAATGGTCCATTGCAAATAATGGACCCTGCCTGTTATTCCATACTTGGCAGCATCTGAAATAAAAGAGCAGAGCTGAGTGAATGTGTAGGCAAGCAACAGGAATCTGTTTCGGTCAGCTCTTTTTGGACAGGCTTCAGGGTCTACGTTCAGTTCAGCTGTTGAAAAGGCACAATCTTAATTTAATGCCTTCTCCTAGCAATTCTGTTGGCATGGTATGTGTAGCTCTCTACAAGCGAACAAACAGCTAAGGGCCAGCCTGGCATGCTTCAGTTCTTTCTCTTTCTTCCCTCCAAAATTCATTACCGGCAATAAAATAACCTTCCTGTACTCAAAATCAGAAAGGAAGAAACAGGTTTTGTGGTGTTACAGCTTTCTGTTGTTGTTCATTGGGCCTAGATGCAAACATGAAATAAAATCAGTTTTGTCCTCCCTCCAAGATAGCCAGTGTTTTATTCAGTTATACCTGAAATGATCAACACACAGTTTTGGAGTGATGAACATTGAATTGGACTGTGTTAGCCTCCAGTTTAGAAGGGAATCGTTGGTTACAAATTCCTGCAGAACCGGTTGCAGTTTAGGAGGTTATGGCAGTATGAAGAGTAGCGAGGGAGTAGTGACTGTAACCGGATATACCTATGCAAGTTGCTGACTTATTTCAGGATTAAATTGGCGGTGAAAGTCTTCTAAAAAGTCTTCTTGAAGGGAAGTTAAAAGCAAGCAAACAAAAAGCCCTGCCCACCACCACCTTTAGAAGCTGGTACAGATACATTATAGACTTAACAGCTGCAGGCTCAGAAGTCTTAAAATACTTAAGTCAACACAACTGAGACCCGCAGTCCCTGATCTTTTCATTTGGCGGGTTGTTTTTGGAGAGAGCTTAGTGTGGGCTCCTCTCAGTTCCCTAGTTCATCCTCCCCAGAGCGTGAGGCCCTGGGGAGTAGGAGGAAACATTTGCACAGGCTGTGCTTTGGGAACTGCTGGACCATATGGTCGGTTTTCCATGAGATATTTGTTCCTGGGTAGCTTACTGCTGATATCCAAACTGTGAGAAGCACTAAAATATTTACAGTCCTAATCTTCTCATATGCCCTGAGTCCTTAGATTGTCCTTAGGGACTCCTGTCTTCATTTCTGTGGCTGGTTAATTGTTCATAGTACACTCCTCAGAAGGGAGACAAGGCAAGAAACTACTGAAGGATTAGACTGTTGTCCTGAAAAAATTTCAAGCAGGTATAGTTAATTGCTTAAACTCCCTTTCTTTAAACTTCTGCTTTTAATGTAATCTCTCTCCAAAGGAGAGCAGAGCAGAGAAACTGTTGTTTGGCTGCTGCTCAAGCAAAATGCAGGAATAGGAAGGATGCATGGTTGTCAAGCTACTTAGGGACCCACTCGGATAACTTAGGACTCTTCAAAATCCCTCACGGAGGTATAGAAACACTGTTGTGTTTTTCCTGATTTCCTGAGCAGTGGCAGCTGGATTCACAAGATGCTTGTAAAACAAGTAGCCTTGGGGAGCAAAACCACTGCTGACTTGATTCAAGGTGCTCCTGTTCCCCTCGAGTACCAAAAGGAGCAATGGAGTAATGTGAAAGGGCAGTCAGGGTTTCTTACTTTGTTATCTCGTCTCATCTGAGAACATTTTTATATTGGAAGAATTACCCAAGTCCAAATTATAGCAAAAATACATATGAGAGGGAAACCGGGATTTTTAGAAGTCTTTCATCCATTTTTATGATGTTTTGGGGAGCTTTTAATTGTGTAAGGTCCCTCATATCTAACAGATAACGGAGCGTTTTCTTTTCCTGCTGACACCTCTCCCACCAGCTATGTCACCTTCCTGAGTACACGTGGATAAGGACATTTCTTGGAGAAACTTGCAAGTAAAAGACTCTTGACTACTACCGTAAAAACATTGTAATTGCTATTCTAAATGCGTCTTTCTTCTTTGCTATTGAAAATGTTTCTTTGCTATTGAAAATGCAATTAACTTTGTACTATAAAGAGCACGCTCCTATTTGTAGAATATGCGAGGATAAAGAAGTTAAGACAGAGTTAATCTGAGAAAGTAAAGGATAATATTTACTTGGAGTCATGGTAATGACCACTCCGACTCTCTTATTTCAGAGGCTCTGTCACAGACATAGTCTCTGGGAATGAATTATTTTTAATCTGAAAGCGATTTGCTTCTCCCTAAAACTATACCAAGCCAGCCCTTTGAGATGCTGTTAGGATATCACAGTGCCAGAGCAGCTATTTTTTAGATGAAATTTGAAATCTAGTTTCTCACCGCATGTTATGGTATGCTGATGCAAATACCACTAGCATGACATGGTGCTGAATCATTCCCGAATCCCCGGAGCAGTTTCTCCTGGCCGCCTTCAACTTCTTCTTGTGTTCATCTAATTTTGCTAAAATAGTTGCTTCTCTTCTGCAGTATAATGGTAGCGTACTCTTGCTGGGAGTGAACAGGCTCTAACATCCTTGCACAGCCTGTAAATACTGCAGTGTACATCAGGCAGCTGATTTACCAGTCTGAGTTGCTCAGATGGTGAAGTAAGTAAAGGCAGTGTTTCCCCCCCATCTTGCTTTCTGCTGAGCCCGTGCAGTTGATTTTCAGACTGTACAGTCTTCCTTAATGCCCCCATATATGTGTGTATACATGTTTGTGTGTGCTTGTATACACAAGTATAAATATACCCTTTTTTTAAAAAGAAAGGCCCTTCCCCCACTCCCAAATCCCAAACCGTATCTGTGAAATAAATGATATATTTTACTTAGTTATATATTATTGAAATATTCTATTAGGCTTTTTCTATTGAGCGCCAAGAAGAGTATGCCAAGCCTGGAAGAAATGCAGCCTTTACGAAGCTTTCCACTAAAATTTACCAAGGAAGACGGTTATGAAGATGTTGAACGTTGTTGTGCTTCTGGACGTTTATATAGGTGATGTAGGCAACGTACAGTCATTGCGTGCTGGCAGGGCGCCCAGGGGTTCCCATGGCACTGCTGATAAAGACTCAGCGTAAGAGCTCCTCAAGCGGTACAGGCTGCGGGACTGCTCGCGCCTCAGGATTTCTTCTTTCCGAGGAAACCAGCAGTGCCTGAAGTACTGAGCATGTTCTTGGGCAAACTTTTTGCTTTCGGCCTCAGGCAAGCCTTTCAGCCTGTCCTGTCAGAGCCGTGACGGTGGCGTAATACCGTCCGAAAAACCAGTGCGGTATTTGTACAGGAACGCACGGAATTGCACTGGAGGTGATCTGAAAGCTAAAATCGTAACTAAGCACCTACCCTGTTCAGCCTTCTGGGGGTCTCTCTTCCGCAGTAATTCCCCATCACGCGGTAGGGCTTGTGCTGAGGACCTTGTGACCACGAACTTGCAAATCTTCTGCCTCAATACGGCCACCGTGTGGCACCGGCCCCTCTTTTGCTGCTCTCTCACTAAGGGGCCTGCGTACGTCTTCCCCTTCCGTAGCTTTGCTTGCAAGCCGCTGCTGAGCCAGGAGCCTCCCGAGCTTCGGCTTTACCGAAGCCGGCGCCGCGCTGGCAGCGCTGGGGCGGACCGGCGCGGCTCAGGACGGTGCCGAGGCCCTGCGTCGCGATGACGAGCCCAAGCTCTCCCTTCCTGCAGCGCGCAGCGGTCCCGTGCTGCTTCTCGCTCGTGCCCCCGCCGCCGCCAAACTCTGCGCGAAGCTCTTCCGCCTGC